GGGAACGTGGTTCCAGACAGCGTCTCTGTAAAGTTAACTCTGTAAAGAGTTAACACACTGATGGAACAAAGAAGGAGAGCGAGTGGGAATCCATCAAGAGCAATGCATCAGAGATGGAGTAAAAAAAAAGTGGGAAAAGGAAAAAGGCAGCCATTAACTTTCACGGTACATGTGTCATTGTATCTGTGAGAGAGTGTTTGTGACAGTGAGCATGTGCAATAGTATGCAGCTATGTCCGGAGTTTTGCAACCTGTGCTTTTTCTGCTTGCTGAGCTTGCATTGCAATGCCACACGCTAAACGCCATTACAAACTGATAGGGTGTCAGTTCTGCTAGTCTCCCTGGATTTAGTGGCACTGGAAGGCAGAAAGAGGGTAGCAGAGACAAATGGGTGAGGCAGCGGGAATGAGAGCTGAGAGAGAATTTAAGGAGAGTGTAGCAAATACAGGAAAGCTGTTGAAAACAGCTGTGTGAAGAGACAGGACAGCGAGAGGGTCAAACCTACAAAGGGTGACTGCGATAGAGAGTGGTAACGTCTCTTTCTGCTGAAGCCTAATAAGTCCAGAGGTGTCATCAGCTGGAGGAGTTTAAAATCCCAGTCCACTGTCTCTGTCTGTATTTTGACATCATGTTAGGAGCCAGACGGTACAGTTTATGTCTGGCTCTGGCATCTTCATCTACCCAGGGATTCCCTCAGTAGGAATGAATGTCAGCAATGTAGAGAGGATGGTAGTTTGTTTAATCTAGTGGGTACAGCTGTTGCTATGAAGAGATGCTGTATGTTATAAATGTGTGTTTGGGATTGTGTGTGAGTGCTGGTTTTGTACGCTGTGGTGCCCAGATGTCCTCCCAGGAGTGGAAAGTGGAAGAAGTGACCATTTTGTGATTCATTTTCAGACGTCACGAGAATGATGCAAAGTTGCGGTAATTTGGAGTGACAGGCAAGGTTCACATTTGGGCCTCGAACAAAAAGGCAAAGCAGGGTTGAGCAGAACAAAATCACGAGACACAAGTTTGTTTGCCTGCTCCAAAGCTTTACATTATTTCCTGATAGACTTCTGTGGCGCTGCGTGGTGAATTTGACACTAAAGAATAATTAATAGATATTTTAACTGTTTTTCTTTTTTTCTTAAAGCCAACCCATTGACATTCCTTCAGAGGGAAAAACAGACACCTCAATATGTCAGGAGGAAGCTGCTGAATTTCTTGTTCAGTAACTGAAACAGACACGTGAACTTTCAGTTCACTGCTCATTGTGTTTAAACGAATGCATCTGTTTGACTGAAGTCGAGTCTGGCTTTATTGCATGTCATAACCCTTTTGCTCTAAATGAATGAGAATGTCTTAAATTGGCATTTTGGCAAATAGGCTAATTTGCTTTCTTGCAGATGAAGTAAATTAAGATTGAAAACGCCCCTGATAGAAAATTACAGCGAGCAGCCTGCATAGTTAGAAAAGAAAAGAAAAAAACTATTGAACTAACCAGCTGCTGATTACACTCCTTATATTAAACAGACAGATATAAGTGGTGTTTGTGGCAAGGCAGGTGAGTAAGTAGATTTCCAAAGAATATAATAATACGATAATACGTATTATTTCTTCTGCTGTCGCTGTCTAAAGGTGGCTGTGACTCTCAGGCTAGACATTCATGAATGAACCGATAATCAGGAAGCTATTAGCCGTTATCCTTCCCTCTAAACTTCTGCGTCGTTTCTTTAAAAGTCCTTGATTAACTGCCAAGCAAGTGCACACTCACAGTAAACACCGCCGCATTGAAGACTATGCTGAAGACTCGGGACAACTCGGTTTCTGTTAATCACAGTTTTATATTTAAACACAGCGCTCAGGGTTCTTGGCGTAATTTTTGTGGAAAAGCCCACAGACGTTTCTAGTCTGTTCTCAGAGGGTGGTGCAGTATGAGTGAGAGGTTCCTCGGCAGTTTCCTTTCCCTGTGTGTGAGCTGTCCCTGCATGCGTGTGTCTGTGTGAGTGACTTCAAAGCCTGTCTGCCCAGTCAGAGCTTGCTGGTCAGTTTCAAATGAAACGCAGTCCGTGAGACAGGCCGACACACTCACACGCACTCGCACACACAGTGCACGCCTCTAATACAATGTTACATACTTACAGACACACACACCTCCCCGAGCTTCCAGGTGGCTGCAGCTTGTTAGTGGTACAGCAGGAAAAGCCAGATGAAGCCAGCCCACACCAGCTGCACTGCCCTCTACCTGCCTTCTTATCTCATTCTTTCCCAACTTTTCACCTCGCTGTTAGTGGAATTTCAGGTTTCTATAGTTTTTTCTTTGTGTCATATCTTAAAGACGACTTTGCCGATCGTCTTTTTTTTTTATTTTTTAGCTTTTTGTTCTTCGTTTTTCTTTCTAGTCTCTCTTCTGATCCTCCCTATCCTATCCTACCTTTGCATATTCCTTCCATATTAAAGCTAATCAAACCCCTAATTTAAACTTGTAAAAGTAAATTGATATCTCCTACCACAATAGTGGCGGTGCACAAACACGTACTATCTTGTGACATTATAGATCAAATGATTAATTGACCAAGAAAACAATAATCATGGAGTTATTAGAAAAAAAACCTGCCTTCTTTTGCATGTGTGTGTATTTGGCACGTGCGTAGCTCTACGTCAGCTGCTGTCCACTCCATACCTGCTTAACTCTGCATGAAGGGATGAGTGCAGTCTTAAAGGAGCCAGTAGCAGGAGAAGAGGAAGATGGAGGGAGGGAAAGTAAACAACAGATGGTGGAAGCATGTTGCTGCTACTCGCAGCAGTATGCCAGCCCACCACCAGCTTCTTGCAAGGTTACTATGCAACGGTGACCGTGACGATATGGAGGTCAGAGGTCAAGTGCCTCCTTGATGACGGCCCCGTAATGCCACGCGCCGTGCCAGACTGAACCAGCTGAGACACATGTATAAAGACGCTGAGAGAGCGTACGAATTTATGTTTTCCTTGGCTGAGGTTTGGCGGTGATGACTGTTGAAATCTTCCATGCAGCGTCCACCCTTGACCCACCTGCCAGCAGTGATGACACACACTGAGGCAGCTGTCTGTGCTCTGTCCGTTTGTGTGTGTGTGTGTGTGTGTGTGTCCGAGCGCTGAGTCGTTTCATGCTGAGGAGTGAACTGAGTAGTGGCATACATTGGCTGGTGTGGCTGGTAGGTGCCATGACCTTCACGGAGAGGGGAAAAAGAAAGAGAGCAAGAGAGAGAACTGGAAAATGCACGTGGTCAAAATGAGACGCTTGTATTCGTGCTGTGGAATATCTTTCTGAGGACCAGCTTTAGGGCTCGGGTGTGAGGACTTTGGGGGAAAATGACGACATTTGAACTGATCCTGTGTGGAGTTAAAAGGTTTGAATTAGGGTTGGGGTGAGGCATTTCAGCTGTGATGGCTGAGGGTAAGCCCTGTCCACAGACTATGAGTTTTTCACCATTGTTTTTAGTTATACCTTACTTTTTTTGCTATTGTTAACCTTTATTTTGCCATTCAGTCCCCAATCTTAATCTACAGTACAAAAAAAAAACAACAGTTTGAGAAGCTTTTGTAAAAATGTACTTTATTGCAATATTTTTTAACTCAATGTTATTTTTTTTTCGGCTTAAGTAACTAGTTTGAATTAAAAAAATTAGACAATAGACCCTATTTAGAAATTTTGATACAGTAGCAGAGCAGCTTCTCATGTAAACTGTAAATAGCAGTTTGTATTGTCAATAGCAGAACGAGGTTAGATCTTCGGTAGCTGCCTTTTGTGCTTTCGCATTTTTTTGTAACACAGTGCAGTGTTGACAGGTAAATAAGGTGTGAATCACTCATATTGAAGTGTGAGACACTCTTACCAGAAGAAGCGTCAGTAAATTTAACACACACACACACACACACAGACAGTCACTTTGTGGCTTATTCAGGATGAGGTAAATACAAGCAGCAGACATGCAGGGAGCTGTGTGATTCACTTCCCTGTTTGCATGAAGTGCGGCTGTTTTCCTGTGAACAGGAAACTGAAGCTGTCGTTCCAGGAAGAGATCATTACGTTGGTTGAAGTGCACCGAACCTGCCTGTGTGCGTGTGACAACGAGAAATCGTGTCTTTGTAGCAGCGTCGCAGCCTGAAATAAGGGTTTCAATTGGTTTACTGCAACAACTTTAAAAAATAATTACTAAAATAAACAAGTTAATATTTTGTCTATTTAGATGTCCAAGTTCCAATTTATTTAGATGTGCGTAAATCAAATAGAAATATCACAGGAATGTTATAATGAGGTGACCAGAGTGAGAGAAATGAATGATTTGGATTCCCAAAGTGGAAGTGAAATAACAAGAAACTAACTAAAAACTAAACTAAAACTTAAAGCGTCTACAGTGGAAACTGATTTTTACCAATGAAAACGAAAACTGTTTCCTAAAAATGAAAGTATTAACTGTGGTTACAGCTCGCTCTTGTTTTATGTGTCACACACACGAGCGTCAAAGACAGAACTAGAGCCATGTTTCATCATATTTTACCAAACGCCTCGGCATGCAGACTAGCTGAAGTTTTCAACTCCGTCACACAGAGGATTGGAGATAAATTATTACCTTGTGCGTTCCGTTTGCCTGCTGTTGATATTTTTGCAAACTCAGGCAATACCCATTAAATTTGCATTAACAAAATGAGAGTGTGGTAGGTTCAGATCTGGGCTATGTTGCACAACTGGGCAATGTTTGCAAAGTAACATACCTGTGCTGGCACAGGCGCATGACTTTCTTGGTAAGATGCATGATGAGTCAGAGGAAATACATGGGTATTTGTGCCAGTAATTGTCCTGTTCATTGTGTATTTCTCTGAAATCAAAGCCACACAAAATCTGTGAAACAATAAGTTTTGACACCAGTTGCCATCACTGTGCTTCTCTTTCAGCTCCTCTACATTTTCTTTCTTTTTTTGATATCTGCTATCTCTGTTTTTATTTACGTGTTTTTCCTCTTGTGCTTCTCTCAACAGGAGTGACAGCGACTCTGTCTTTCTGAAGAAATCTGTGGCATGAAACCAGATCACACAGGTCTCTCGTACACCTTCATCTCCCTTTACCACTCTCCAGTTAGAAACACACTCCTCAGCTTCACTGCATTGATGAGGTAACGTCAGGCTCCGTGCAAGAACCCACCTGCAGCGGCGACTCCTTCCCCTCTTCCTTCCTCTTCCTTCTGTCAGTCATTGCACCGCAGCCATGGGCCAAAAGATCTCTGGCAGCATTAAATCAGTAGATAGTCGCGGGGAAAGCGGTGGCTCCCCATCCTACCGACCCCTGACTCATCGTCGGCAGCACCCTGAGCTAAGGGGCCCGGATTTCTTCAAACCTCCCAGGCTGGATCTCCTACTGGACATGCCGTGCGCTGGACTGGAGACTCAACTCCGTCACGCGTGGAACGCCGATGACCGGTCGCTTAACATCTTCATCAAAGAGGACGACAAGTTAACTTTTCATCGCCACCCTGTCGCTCAGAGCACGGACTGCATCCGGGGGCGGGTCGGATACACGAGGGGACTCCATGTATGGAAGATCAACTGGCCTGTCCGGCAGCGAGGCACCCACGCTGTGGTCGGAGTAGCAACCTCCGAAGCTCCTTTACATTCTGTTGGCTACACAGCGTTAGTGGGGTCAGACTGCGAGTCCTGGGGCTGGGATCTGGGACGTAATAGGCTCTACCACGACAGTAAGAACAGGGCGCACAGCTCACTGCCCTCTTACCCTTGTTTCCTGGAGCCGGAGGAGTCGTTCACCCTTCCGGACTCTCTGCTAGTGATACTGGACATGGACGAAGGGACCTTAAGTTTTATGGTGGATGGACAGTATCTAGGAGTGGCATTTAGAGGACTGAAAGGAAAGAAACTGTATCCCATCGTCAGTGCCGTGTGGGGACATTGTGAGATATCCATGAAGTACATCAACGGCCTGGATCGTAAGTAACTGCTTTTTGGTGACTATTTACACATTATGAACATAATCCAGCAGTAATAGTAGTAGTGGAGACTACTCAGAGTTCATATTCACATTCCTTAGATCAGCGGTCTCCAACCTTTTTTGCGCCATGGACCGGTTTATGCCCGACAATATTTTCACGGACCGGCCTTTCACGGATAAATGCAACAAAATAAAACCAGTACCGGTACTGAAAAAAAGAAGATTTATTCATAACACACGTGAAAAGACCCAGGAAAACTGAGTTAACGATCAAAACGATAACAAAATAACGCTGAAAACCCTGAAAACTATACATTTCACACCTGAGCCTCAACTCTCGCGGCCCGGTACCAAACGACTCACGGACCGGTACCGGTCCGAGGCCCAGGGGTTGGGGACCGCTGCCTTAGATGACCTACCTACAAAAAATGCCTGATATTAAAAAAAAAAAGGAAAAGGAAAAAAAAGGAAACCACTGAACTAAACTAATGTGGCGGTGTCGTAATACCTTCATGGTGTTGTAAGAATTTCAGTTTGTTGTGTCACTCTTCTGAGATTGCAAATCTGACACACTTTCTTTGGCAGCAAACAGGGTGAAAATTAGTTTGAGTACCACTGGAAGGAGTCCACGTGTTCTGCAACATTCATTATTCAGTACTCAGTACTGAAAGCATTAGTGTCTCAGCGGTTTGAGTGTGCAATTTCTAGTGTTTTTCTTCTTCTTCTTTTTAAATTGAAGTGCTTTCGTTAGCGATGCTTGAAGCCCGAGAGGAGTCTTGAGTTATTTCAGAAAGACAGAGAAGGTGTTTTTTAACAAAGCAGTCAGATGTTAGTGATGGATGCGTTGGGTTGATTTTGTTATATTTTTCAGTGATTTGGCTTTTTTCCGGCTGTAGAAGTGTATCATGAGCTAACGGTGTTTCAAATTGCTGTGGCAGAGCAGACATGTGGTGCACACATGAAGTAAAAGAGTAGTTTAAAATACTCTTTTGCAGGTTTTTTGGTTTTGATTGGGTAAACAGATTGCTTGTGATTGTTTTCTTTGATCTCTGAACTCTCTCCCACTGTCTGCATGTGCACGCCAAAAGAGAAGAGACAGGCTCCCCCGTCACAGTCTAAACAGTAACGCTTTGAACGTCTCGTTAAAAGCTCACTTAGACTCACATCACGGACACTTACACGTATGAACACACACCTGCCAGGAAGGGAAAGGGTGTGTTGTGACAACAGGCTTATAATCTCCCTCCCTTTTAGTTCGCTGAGCCCTGTGGGTCTTATTTGATTTCACAACAGGGTGTGCTTTTGTGTGTAACCCCAACAGCAATCTCAAGGCTCAAAGGAAAACCCGTCGCTCTCTGTAGTTTGTTACATCTCATTTCTCTTTGCCCAATCATCTCAAATTTCTGTTTGAATTTTTTTTCTCTCTCAAAACTTCTCTGCTCTCCAGGGACGCCATGACACCAAGAGCCCATTTTCTTCTCAAAAAAAAATAACAGGCATAATTCCAGCTTTAAATTGGGGTTTTTTTTGCCTTAAAATTGCAGCTGGCCAACTGGAATATGAATCAGAAAAAAACCCTCTTGCCTGAACTGTATTTATTTTCTATCCTTCAGTTTAACTCCTGTTATATGTGTGCATTTAAATCTTTTAATCTCCAACCTGTCACTATTAAACATTGTTTGACTGCTTAAAAGCACCGTACCTCAGTCATTTTTCATTTATGTAGAATATTGAGTCCGTTTTAAAGCACTCGCTTCTACAATCTTACAGCCTTCATGCTGTGAAATGAGGTTTGGCTGTGTGTAAAGCTTAATGCAGGGAGGAGGGTAGAGGCCCATCGTCGCAAGCCGGCTGAGATGTGTGTATGAGAGATAGACACTGACACGGCATGAAATTAAGAAAATACATATTTTTGGTCAGAGTACAAAACAGAATGAAGAAGACTCAAAAATCAGGGGATCTTGGGAAGACACTGGTTGTAGTGAGCAAGAAATATCTAACTAACTGTAACCAGTCACAGCTTTTATTAGAATACGGTCTTTATTATACAGCCATGCATTCAGAATTTCCCAAACAAAGTAAATGAAATCTCATGTGAATGTGTGCGCAAACACACGGAAACAAAAGCGTGTTTGAGAAAGGCCTAAGGTAGGGGAAGTCCGCTCGGACTACCAAATCCGTAACAATTCATTCGGTTTCTGATTCCATTCATTTGTTGCTGAGACGTCGTTTTGGGTTATTAGCGCTCCAGGCGTCGCTCTGAATTCCAAACAAAGACAGCAGTGAGTGATATTTCAAGGGTTTAGTGAAAAGGTGAAGTAAATAGCCTAAAGCAGGGTCTCTTTGACGCAGGGCAGGCTGTGATTACAGTCTGTGCGGCAGCTTCTTTCAGTATCAGTTTTGGATTGAATCGGCTCGTCTGCCCTGCAGATGACTCGAGTAGAGAGAATGAAGTCATAATTGCTGTCTGCCTGTGAGTAAAGGAGTGTCTGTGTGCACAGCAAACCATGATTGTGTGGTCAGCCGAAGAACAGACGTTGTTTCACCTTTTTGTTTTCTTTTTTTCACGGTAATCGCTCGGTAGTGACTGTATCTAATGAGCCGACCTATGAGAAGTCACCGTTGGGTTGTTTGTAAATTATTGTTGGAGGAAGAAACGACGCGATTGCCGGGTATTAAAAAAGAGATTTGTTGGTGCGCCGTCTTCACATCACCCTGTTTGCTTTCTCATCACTCCGGCTCGGGCCCCTGTTGCTCTGTGATCGTCATTTTGCTCCACCTGAGATCATTACTCCCATTCCTGCAGTGACACACCGGAGAGCGATGAAGCCAGCAGCACTTCAGGCTCATGGCAGTTTTTGTAAGATTGCACAAAGTGACCAGAAATGGATATGAACTTAAGTCTGCATTGTCCTGCACATGTGAGCCCTCTTCCTTCAGAGGCTTCCTCCATAAACATGCGAACTGATCTGTTTGCCAGTTAGAGTATATTTAACTTAATAGATGCTATGTTGCATAAACTACATATGCAGCTAATTTCTTTGCAACCTTAAAGGACTCTCCTTCTTCTCCTTGGTTCTTTTTCTTCCGCTCATAGTTTTCTCTTGTCCTGTGTCTATAATTGTGCCAATTAGTGGCACTTTGATTAGCTAAAATGGGACCTTTAGCCCTGATATGTGCCATTTTCTCTCCTGTCTTTGTACTCCAGCGCATATTATGCAGAATGCCGCTGCAAAATCTGGCAGTTTAACAGCTAATTTACAAACCACCCAGAGTATAATTCCTTTTTTTCTCTGAATAATTAAATGCAGTTTCTGGGCACATATTGCTGTTATCAGCTTATAAATGCAATTTCAGGGGATGGTTTTCACTACAGTTACTTGTCCAGAATTTCTTTCCTGCCGGTGAAGCCAATGTCTGCGTGGTTTTCTCACGTGGCTGAATAGTTCCCCCGTCCAACAGCTGTCATATGATTTATCCATACAGACAATTAAACCGACCAGTCATTGTTGCATCATGGGCTGGGAGGGAAGCAAAGGGGAAAACAGTTGAAAAGGTTGGGGGGGGAAAAAGCAGATAAGGTGGGAGAGAGAGTGACGGAATGGAAGAAAACCCAAGAGAGACGGTTACAGCTGAGAGAATTGGTAAAAGCAGGATAACATCTGCAAGTCGCAGCGAGCATACTGAAGTTTTATCAGGAGAAGGGTGGAAGCAGAGCACAAAGGCAGCGAGAGAGAAGGGTTTGCACAGTAAGGGATGTGTGACAGGCGCACAGCTGATCAGCTCTCTGAGCTGAAAAAGCTGGTGTTGTTGGTATTGCAATACAAACCACAAAAGGCCACAAAAAACACATTAAAAATGATGAAAAATGAATCTTAAAATATTTAAATGCTGAATTTTTCTTTTTGCAGCACTTCACAGACACAGGCACTACCACAGGGTTTTCTCTGCCATTAATTTATACTTCACAGTCAAAATCACAACTGCCGGCTTATTCAGGATTATTCACATTCCAGCAGATCTGTCGACGTGAAGTGACCCGGTTTCTTTTTCCTGTAAGCCAGCTGAGAGCTGACACCCTGACCTCCCTCCCTCTCTCCTACTGTTTAGTCTGCATCACATGAGCTTACACACTCCAGGTCAGACCTAAACCAGCTGCAGCCACCTACTCACTAGAACTTCACACAGCGGCCTTAGTTGTGTCTGGGTTGTTTACATGAAGATCATGGCACCCTAAGATGCCCAGAAAGCGCACTGTCTGTCAGTAGGAACGCTTTAATTGATGTCTGGTTTTTTCAGGTTCATAAATGATCAGGAATTCACTCTTTAGTAGAAAGTATTTAACCTTTCCAGAGCTTTTATAGTAATGATTGCAGTTTTTGTTCAAGTGCTGGTTTATCAGATCAAAACAAAGTCGGCACAAACTCCGTTGCCCTCCTTTGTGATATTAAGTCATGCACATTTGGATTTCTTAGATCTGCTGCGGTTTTGAGGCGTTCCCGTCTCAGATTTCTGCAGGCGCTAAAATACGGTGAGGGTTTTTTAAAATTGTGTGTTGGTAAAAGGACGGAAATGTTTATTTTTGAAAACAGAAAAGCAACTCGTCCTCAAGGAAGTGACTGCTGTCTATTGAAGTAGTTTCAAAGATCACTGTGAAGTCGAGCATTGTGGCATGTGGGAAATTTAAAGGTGGGTGTCATAAAACCACACCATATAAAATTAAACCCAGCATTTTTAATTTGGGTACTTTAGCGCTCGTTAATTTCCTTATTATTTGGCTTTTGCACGTCAATTTCACTCCAGGATGGATGAACGGGATGCCAGTATCTGAACCATTAGCTTTCATGTTAGGAGCAGTGACTCAGCTTCCTGAGCTAGTGCATGGAGTTTCGCACCAACTGCTGGCTGTGATATGTGGGTCACTGGGTTGGTGATTTAGCTTAACTTGGCTGCCAGCCTTAGGCTTGCATCCTGCTCTTTATGATTCCCTGATATGTC